TCTCATGGACCCCGCGACCTGCACCAAGCCTCCCCCGGACTCCAGCAACTACTCTTCAGCCTGGACACCTGTAAGCAGAGACACGTGTCCAAGAAACTATGACCTATGCAAACTGTTTCCCTACTTGTGCTACTCACACCCCATATCTCTTGCTCTTCATTAATTACCGTTAAAAATAGCTAGAAGGAAAACCCAGCTCAGCGCCAGCTCCATGGTGAGCCGTCTGTGCTCAGTCCTGATCACCGAGTGGGAACAGCTGGGCATCCAGGGCTGGGCTCCTCTGCAGAGCTGCGGGGTCAGGGCTGGGCTGATTTTTATCAGCAGAGGAAAGACTTATTTGCATGTCCTCCTCCTATATAGACAGCTCTTTAATTCTAGCCTCAGAGAAGGGAAGGTCCAAAAACATGAGAGTTTTTTTTAAGAGGTATTTTGGAATACTCACAATTCTATAGAATATATGTATTTCCCCTATATGTCTTGATTATGATAGTTGGCATCTTTTTTTTTCCCTCCGGAACCGGGGATTGAACTCAGGCCCTTGCACTTGCCAGGGAAGCGCTTATTCCACTGAGCCATCTCCCCGGCTCTTTGCTTGTGATAAACACTTCAATTCATCTATTTTTCTCATTTGTACATATATGTAATTAATAGATTTGGGAATTTTACACATTTGCATGTTAGAATAGGGAACAAGTGGATCATTACAAGTCTGATCTAGTAGTGAGACCCTGAGCACCCTGTAGACCCTTCCCTAAAAGTAGAAAAAAAATAAAAAGAAAACAAAATCCGGAAGGAAAGGAACAAAAGGAGAAGCTAAGCATGAAAAAAATTTGTTTAGTGGAAGAACATAGAAGAATAATATTAACATGCATATACATGTATAATGCATTTTTTGCTTTTGTTTTGTTTTTTCAGAACTGGGAATTGAACTCAGGTCCTTGTGCTTGCCAGGCAAGCGTTTATTCCACTGAGCCATCTCCCCAGTCCCTATAATACATTTTTAGAATCTTTTATTTTGCAATTTTTTGTTTCATAAAAATTTTGTAACTTTTCCAATTATTCAATAAAGAACTGCATTATTAATTTTATTTTACAGATGTGAAAAATAAAACCTGCAGAATCTGCAGGTTATACAAAATTAAAAAAAAAAGAATAGGGAATGGAAAACCATACCTATGAGTTGTGAGCTCATATGTCATGAAAACATTTCAAAAGCTGGTTATATAATTCTCCCCCTTCCCGCCCCCCAAAAAACCCACTGCTGCTTCATGACGTCTGCCAGACGTCTTTTTATAGTGCAGGAACATGACAGGATTTCACTGTGTTCCACCACAGAAATCCCTTCAAATGTGCACTGGATCTGACAAAATGTAAGTTCTCCCCAGTGTATATGGTGCTGAGACAAAGGGCAAACTCAGGCTCACAGGGAGCCATCATTCCAGTAAACCTTCTTCTCTCCAACTCCATCTAGGCCCAATTCTGGTTCTCTACACAGACTCAAGGTCCCAGGCCTTTTTTCTTCAGCTTTTTAAAAATTAATTTTATAGAGAAAGAAATAGCAATGAGACACTTTAAAAACAGGCCTACAGGGTCTCACTATGTAGATCGAACTTGTGATTCTCCTGTTTTCAGCCTTCTAATTGCTGGGATTACAGGCATGCACCACCACACCCAGTCTCAATCGCCATCTCAGCACCCCCATGGGTGGGGCTGGCACAGCGTGTTCCATGTTCTTGAGTGAACTTTGCAATATAAAGCTTTAAGAATATGTCATATATTGAGAGAAAATGGAAATTTAACCAAGATGCCATATGACATTATCTGATAGTTTGAAAGCATTTTCATGTGGGGTGGTCCCTTATATATGAAGGTGGAAATATACAGAGGGTATGAAACCTTTGGAGTCTGATTCTGGATGGAGGATACAGACTGAGGCCTTGAAGAAATTAGTGATATCCCTGGGTCCATTGCTTTGCTCCAGGCCCAGGATCTCAACTCCATGACAGGACATGTAGTGGCAAATCTGCTGATGGAGCTGGCTGTGCTTATAGATGAAGGATGGCTTTTGGAAAATGAAAGCCAACAAAAACGTCCCAAGGATGACAGTCCTAGGAGCTACAAACAGTTCATGTCCTTAGGTGCATGTTTCTAATATAAAACATCAACTCAGTTACTATGTGGATTGCATATGGATTACAAATGGATTACATTACAAATGGAATACATCCATTTCAAAGTCATGTCTTAAATTAGTTTTCATTCTCTACTGTCCATTTGCTCATTCCTAAACTGCCATATTCCAAAATTTTAATAACAGCAATTAAATTCTGTCATCTCATTGAATTGGGCAAAAACACGTCTCAGAGCAAATGGCGTCATCCAATTTATAGACTTTTAGACACTCATCTAATTGTATTTATCTTTGTGCAAGTAAAATGAACATACAATAGCAATGTATGTTTAAGGGACTCAAATGAAGACACATGTTTTTTCATCTCAAAATTCCTTACAATTCTGTTTTCTACTTTGTGGTAAATATTTTAACTGGTGTCCTGTAATATCTAGTCTTGTGAAATTAAGCTCAGCTTCATAGTGATGCATTTTTTTCTGAAGAAAGGGGAATTTCTTGAGGACATATGGAGCTGCCAGATCCCCCATTTGGTGAACAATGCACATGAAACTCATAGCTGAGCACAGAGCCTGCTTCTGGAAGTCTCACAACTTAGTGATGGAGCTAGCACTTGCCTTCATGTAACTCCTTTCTTTAAAAATGTATTTAGTACAGGGTCTACAGGGTCTCACTACACAGATCAGACTCATAGTAATTCTCCTGTTTTCAGTCTTCCAAGTACTCGGATTATAGGCATGAGCCACCATGCCCATTCTCAATCACCTTCTCATCACGCCCCAGGAGAGTGGCCCACACAGCAGGCTGGGGTCAAACCCCAGTCCCTGGGTCTGCCTAAGTAGGTGCTTTAATCCGCTGAGTTATCTGGCTGGCGCTAAAGTCACTATTACACAGTCAAGGGTCCAGAACTTCTTCACTATTGGTGCACTGAAGTGTTTTCCAGCACAGTACATCAGGACCCTCATGGCTTCTTGCTACTGAGTTCTGCAGCAATACCTTTACAGATTATCTAAGATCAGCATTGTAAATGGAATTTAACAGTGCTATCAATTAGAACTCCTAAAGTACTTCCGCCATTAGCTGACATTCTCATCAATTTGTCTCTGAGTCATGAAATTTCGGCTGAGAATTTATGAATAATTCAGGATGGAGAGTAGATGGAGACCCTGAGCATGGGGACTTCGTGTTCTGACCTCCACTTTGAAGAAACATCAGTGCGGGATGTAGGAGAAATTCTGTATGTGAACTCCACAGCAGGGAGGCACATATGCCCAAAATTATCTGACCTAGTTTAGTGCTTTTTGCTTAATTGTGAGACAAAGAGACATATGGAGTCCTCAGGTGTGGAGCTACAAGGCAAGTGATCTGCTGTACTAATGTAATATACCTGTGACTGGGACAGATCCAGGTCCTTCAGCTGAGTGCCCTCTCAATTCGTTAATGTGCATCCATGTTCTTGAAATTGTTTTTATCCTCATCTTTTTATGATCTGAAGCTGAAATCCATTATATTGTGGCCTATTCACAATATTTTAAAATTTTTATTGTTTATTAGTACATATTTGCAATACTATGTTCATTCATAATTGTTAGCTAGCAAATATACATAACACACCTTGTTTTGTATCCTTTCTCTATGCCTTCCCCAATTCTAATTTAATCAAGTGGCTTGAAAGCAGGAGGTAGTGGAGTTAACAATAGTAAGGGCTACTAATAGATTAATTGATTACAAGTAGAGTAACTGCATAAAAGTTGACCAGTGGGAGGAGGTGTTCTGAGTCCAAGGAGGAGAGCAGCTGAACCATGACATTCATTAGGTGAAAGGGCCAGCCAGATAGCTCAGCAGATTAAAGCGCCTTCTTAGGCAGAGCACAATGGCTGTGGTTTGATTCCTGATGTGCAGTGCCGGCCCCACCCCCAGGGTATGCTAAAATGGTGATTGAGACTGAATGTGGTGGCATGCATCTGTAATCCCAGCACTTGGGAGGCTGAAAATAGGAGAATCACTATGAGTCCAATCTATGTAGTGAGACCCTGTAGACCCTGTATTAAATACATTTAAAAATGAAGTAGGTGAGTCTGTTACTTTCTGGGTTCTTGCTGGTTTTGTTATTTGATACTAGACATCTCTATTTTCCTGACATGAGGTCATACTTAGTTACTCCTACATCCAGAATTTCCATCTTTGTTTTGAATTACGTGGAACTGATGGATTTCTAGGAAGACTGACATGTGTTCCACAGAGAGAACATAATATTGCAGTTATGCATATACTTATGTGGTGGGGTGGTGGACACAGGTGCTGCTGATACCTTGAATGTTCATGAGTGATTTCGTCACTGGCTTAGTTAAGGGTATGTTTCACTTATGTGTTGTATTTTTTAACAAGAACTGCCTGTACCTTATGTGATGATGTAGTTCTGGTGGGAAGAAGCAAATCAATAATAAACATCAACCTACAAAGAATAAATTTAAAATCTGAGTGAACTTCCTGGAGGAAATGAGGGGTGGGTGAGGTAAAAGTGAGAGATCATGGTGGTACTGGCTTTCGTGCTTAGAAAGTGGGGATTGTTCAGCTAATGCATCTTCACTTCCATGAGGTGTTCATAGTGTAATAACCTAAGGATGGAAGGTGAATTTTGTGAAACCCATTAGAGAAAAGATCAGGTTCTTCATGACAGTCATGTCAAGAAGATGAAGGCCCAGTGACATAAAGGAACTGCAGTGCTGGGTGCCCTCTCAGGCCATGAGTGTGTGATGACTACACAGGATCTCTGTGATCCTTTTGTTTCCATTCTTCATATTTTTTTGAAACACAATTTATAACATGAATGCAGGGTGTTTGCACCTCAGAAACCTGTAGTGCTTGCAGCATGGCTGACCAACTGACTGAAGAGTGGATTGCAGAATTCAAAGAAGCTTTTTCACTATTTGACAAGGATGGTGATGGAGCTATAACAACAAAGGAGCTGGGAAGTGTAATGAGGTCTCTGGTGCAAAATCCCACAGAAGCAGAGTTGCAGGACATGATTAATGAAGTAGGTGTGGATGGTAATAGTACAATTGGCTTCCCTGAATTTGTGACAATGATGGAAAGTAAAAAGAAAGACACACACAGTGAGGAAGAAATTAGAGAAGCATTCTGTGTATTTGATAAGGATGGAAATGGTTATATTAGTGCAGCAGAGCTTCGCCATGTGAGGACAATCCTTGGAGAAAAGTTAACAGATGCCGAGGTTGGTGGAGTGATCAGGGAAGCAGATACTGATGGTGATGGTCAAGGAAACTATGAAGAGTTTGTACAAATGATGACAGCAAAGTGAAGACATTGTACAGAAATGTGTTAAATTTCTTGTACAAATTTATTTACTTGCCTTTTCTTTGTAACTTATCCATAAAAGGTTTCCATCTACTCTCAAGAAATTCTGCACATACAGCAATTGGAACTTCATTCTTCCATGTTTTCTTCCCTTATCTTACTGTAATTTTCCTGAAAGCTTATTTTAGAAAATTGATCAAGTAACATATTGCATGTTGCTTACTCTGGATATATCTAAGCTCTTCTGCACATCTAAACTTAGATGGAGTTGGTCAAATGAGGGAACATCTGGGTTATTCCTTTTTTTAAATAGTTTTCTTTTTTTTCCAGAACCAGGGATTGAATTCAAACTTTGCTTAGCCAGTGTTCAAAAATCTGGTCATGGCACAATTTACCTCAAATCCATTTCAAGTTGTATATTTGTTTTCTAATAAAAAATTACAATAAGAAATGAATGCAGATAAACTTTGTCAATCCTGAATTTTTTTGCTTTGATGTAGGTAAAGTTTAGAAAAAATTAAGTACTGATTATTGGAAATATATAACTAATAATGTGGCAAAAAAAACATTTGGTAGAATTTACTGCATGGGTCATAAATGATATGATTGCATTTACTTAGTAGCTGCTATGAAGCAGTTTGTGGATGTTGGGGAGGAATGATAGCTTTTCTCTTAGATTGTTAGATGATATGATTGGATCTGATTCCATTGGAGAAACAAATATGAATTTCCAAGGGGCACGAATAAGAGCCTGATGCCCTGGGGTTCCCAATCAGACACTGCACACTGCTGTCCTTTCCACTCATCTGTCTCCTCTGCTGTCTGTTACTTCCCTACATTCTGTTCTTGCACCTCCTCAGCTTTGATCCTCTTTCTTGACATTGATATGTTTAAATGTGAGATCCTGTATTCACCACTGTTTCCTGTCGCTTTGACCATAACAAGGAAAACCGAAGGAATGGGATCATTTAAAACTAACATTTGTGACTTTCTAAGCAGGATTGAATTTCCTTTACTTTTTTTTCTTTTATGAACTAGGTAGACATTGTTACAGGATCTATGAAGGACATGTTTGTTTTCAAATGAGAAGAGTACTTCACCTCCATGTTGGGTAATTTTCAGGACAAGTTCTTCCCTGAATGAAGAAATTGTGCCTGCAGTAGGCTCTTTGTCCTTTTCCCTGTGATCAGTCCTCTCTTTCCCCTGGCTGATCCTTGCGTGATCTTTTTGAATCCCCTCCTTGAGCTCTGAGGGCTGGTGAAGGTATCATGTGGGGTGAGGGTACCCCAGGTGCATGATGTGACCTCATACTGGTCCTCTTCTGTCCTCCAGTCATTCAGCATCTCCCCATCAGTGCCCCCTCCACTCTGCCCCCAAGGCTCCTGCTGCACCAGGATATGGGACTCACCTGTGAGTCTTCCTGTTTCTCCGGGTTTCTTTATTATCAGTCAGTCTTCAATTTTATTTCTTAGAGGAGCTTGTGAAAGACTGTGATGTTAGTTTTCCATATTTTCAAAGATTTCAATATGTACGTTTTGGTTTTCAATGGCTTTACAGGTTAAAATGGAGCAAGAAGCATCTCCTGTTGGCAAATTATCTAAGTCAGGGTTTTAATATCAGTTCTAGAAAATGAAATTTACACAATCTTGACTGAACATGGAAAAACACAGAAAATATTTCAGAGTTTTTAGAACTCTACAGGTAGTTGAAATTCAAAATATCCAACAGGGAGGGCCTGACACATCTCAGATGAGGTCAAATTATGGAAGTTGTCAATGTCCTGGCCTAGAAAGATGATATGCACCTGAGACATCCCATCAGTTACAGGAAGTCTCAATCCATAAACAGCGGACAAATCAGTGATGATGCTGGTTCAGGTAAGGTTCAGAAAAGGAGGAGGACATGGAAGTGCATTTGTCTTCCCAGGATGAGTGTGATTGTGAGTTCCTTGGAAATATCTAAGATGTTGGAGTGTATGTGTGAGAATGTCACCTCAGCTCTGCCTTTGGGAATCATGTATGTGTGTGCAAATGATTTTATGCACTTCACTATGTATCTGATTATGGAAAAAAGTGACCATAAGAATGATACTACTATATAGAGGTGTATATTTGATTATTTTACTTAAAATTTGTCAGTATGAAAAAGATAAATACAGAATTCATTGAGTAAATAAAGAAAATGTATAATGGTGGAAGTAAGGGATTCTTTTTAGGAAAAAGATGATGAGTATCACAAACTAGGCAGATTTGATTTAGCATTGTCTGTTATTTCCATGATGTGTACTGGAAATATGAGAGATATGAAAGACAGAGTTGAGAGACAAAAATACAGGGAGCAAGAGATAGGGAGAGAGAGACAGAGAGACAGAGAGAGACAGGGAGAGACAGAGAGAGACAGAGACAGAAAAATAGAGAGAGACACAGAGAAATGCAAACAAGTTGCACTGTAGTTTTGAAATTTTTCAATTTCTAAATTACAAAAGAAAATTAGAGATTTTCTGCCGAGTTCCGGGAGCCCCCAGACCCAGTCCTAGCCCAGGTCCAGTGAGTGTGCGGAGAGTTTCCTGCTACCCTGCGCCGGCGGGACCAGTCCCAGCCCAGGCGCAGCGTGGGCCGGACCCTCTCCCAGCCCCTCGG